AATATGTGAAACCAATCAGTGTAGTTTTTGGTAAATATAAGGTGAGTATATAAAATATAAGTGTGTATTGAATATATATANGTGGAACCATCCTCTCGCCTACTTGACGACGTACAAAGATCCTGTGTATTGAAGCGAAGATTTGAAATTTTGAGTCCTCAGTCCATAATACCTTCTTCCAGTCTTCAGTTGTCCAATGGCGGTGTTTCATGGTCCAGGAGAGCCTCTTTGTCTTATTCTGACGTCTCAGCAATGGCTTTCTTGTTGCAACTCGTCCTGTCAAACCTGCAGCTCGAAGTCTTCTCTTCACAGTTGAAACTGAGATTTGCTTACTACGACCACTATTAAGCTGTGCTGGAAGCTGTTGTCCTGTGAGCCACCTAGCACGCAAGCTGATAACTCTCAGAAACTTGTTCTCTGATTCAGTTGTGGCTTTGGGTCTGCCAGACCGCTTCCTGTCAGAGTTTCCTCAGTTTCTGAGTGCCCTTTGATGGTGAAGAAAACTGTACTCACTGACACCTTGACTTTCTTTGCAATTTCCCTGTAGGAAAGACCTCCATCTTTAAGTATTATGATGGTCTGTCTCTCTTCCATTGTTAATTGCCTTTTTCTCGCCATTTTTGTAGCAACACACTACTTTCTGCAGTACAATACTGTTCAGCTGATGCTCATGAGGGTCTGGTACTACAGTGTGTTCCAACACTGCTTTTATGGAGACAGAGGGGGTTGTATGTAATCAAGAAAAGTTGGAACACCTGTAGGAATTAGTAGCACCAGCTTTTAAGGCTGTTTCAACCTTCACTGCTGCAGAACAGCTTTAAATTGTTAACCCACTTCGTGTTTCCTGGAAAAGGCCTTTTTGCATAATTCTGAAATGTACATTATTTTTCAGTTTTGTGTAACCAAACCTTTTTTTTTTTTTTAAACCTCTGGCTATTCATTGGATTGCACAACTTGAATTGCAATAAATAACTGGAAAAATTAGGGTGTTCTAAAACTTTTGACCGGTAGTGTATATACACATATATGTGTGTGTGTGTGTGTGTGTGTATGTGTGTGTACATTACACAGTAACACAGGGACAGTAGAGAGTAGCAGCACAGTGCAATATTAATAATAATAGTAATAATAATAATAATAATAATAATAATAATAATAATAATAATAATAATAATGACTTACTGTACAATTTTGGATTGTTTGTAATAGAAGTTAACAACAGTAATAATAGTAGTAGTAATGGACACAGAAACAGCTAGGTGTGTCTATGCTTTACCACTATCTAATGAAAAGGGCAGAGCATATTGTTTCAGTGCTGAGCACAGACTGAAGTCAGTTGTGGTTGGCTAACCTTCAGTGAGGAAACTCCAACACTGCAGTGAGGTCGTTAACAGCTGCAGTGCCTCTGTCTTCCAACAGGGGGCAGCAACGAGCCGCACCTCCTTTACCGTCCACACGAAGAAGAAGACAGCCGGCGTAGCTCCGGGTTTATGCTGACGCGTCCCTCTTCTCTTCATTCACCGACGTGTCAGTCTTCTTGTGTCCAGAGCCGAGCAGCACACAGGCCGGTCAGTCCGCAGACATGGCTCCCAAAGGCACCAACAAGCAGCAGTCAGAAGAAGACCTCCTGCTTCAGGACTTCAGCAGAAACCTGTCAGCGAAGTCTACAGCGCTGTTTTATGGAAACGCGCTCATCGTCTCTGCCATTCCCATCTGTGAGTACCGGAGCAGCTAGCTGCTGCTAACTAGCCGAGCTAACTCTGGTTCACCGGAGGAGCAAAAAGTGAGAAAACTAGACGTAAAGATAAGTTTATCAAAGAAGTTACACTGAAATCTAACTCCAAGTAATGTTTCAAAGACCTAGGAGAGCATAATGACTCACTACAATTAATGATGGTGATTGTGAATTGCCAAAGTAAGCTCACAGTAAGTTACACTTGAGGTGAAGTGAGATTAACTTGTAGTTAAATTAAACAGTAATGAATTAGAAAGTTAGCTATGTTTGTCTTCTTCAAAAGCCAAATATAAAATATTAGACCAGCTGCGGTCCAAATCTCAGGTGCTTATTCTGTGCAGTGGTCTTCTGTCCACCTATTCACTGAATTATTCTAAATTATTCTACACACTTGAAAAGAAGGAAGTGATCAGTAATCTTTAGTCCACTAGTAGCTTTAGTGTACACTTCACAGACTGTACAAACTGAACTTGTCTCAGGAGCAACTAAACATTGTCACAGGGTGCAAGAACTTCATACCAAAACCGCTTTTCACCTTCTGATTAAAACTGTCATATTTTGCTCATGTGATCATATATTTCCACATGCATATGTTACACACATACACAATGTTCAAATTCCCTTAATGGTTGTACACTTGATTATATTTTTCCTGTACTTTCTAGGGCTGTTTTGGAGGATCTGGCACATGGACCTTGTACAGTCTGCAGTCTTGTACGCTGTGATGACTCTTGTCAGCACCTACCTGGTCGCTTTTGCCTACAAAAATGTCAAGTTTGTGCTCAAACACAAGTAAGAAAAACACACTCCTCCATATCTGTCGCATACATTTGGCCATTTCTCATTTCTTTGTGACAGTGGCATAAGAAATTCATTTTTCCTGCTGTCACACTGCTTACATAGATCTTTTAATGTGGTCAGCTTGATTGGCAAATATTACAGTATTCATTGGGGGAACCTTAAGACAATGTAATAATCTTGTATGCAATACATGGAAGCTTTTCTATACAAAAAAATACAGTACTGTATGAAAAAAAAAACCTAATTGCTGTTCACAAACTAGATCTTTCATGCTCTAAGTGCTGCTTTGAATTTGACAAAAGTCTTTCACAAATGTTTTAATGCTTGTGAACTTCCTCTCTTTATCCTCCAGAGTTGCTCAGAAACGTGAGGATGCTGTTTCCAAGGAGGTAACCAGGAAGTTGTCTGAGGCTGACAACCGCAAGATGTCCCGCAAGGAGAAGGATGAGAGGTAAAAGTGCACTATTTTGCAAAGATGTGCATACATACATTATGTTGTGCTGCAAGTTCGGGGTTTCAAAATGAGCTTTGACAAACTACCTGGTCTGAGCCTGTTGAGCGTAGTGTGTCATGTGACTTATTACAGGCATATTACGTGATGTGTAGTGTTGATTGTGTTGACGTCAAAGAGCAATCACACATGTCTTGATGCAGGTCCAGACAAACCAGGATCGGTAAAGATAAAGCACTTAAAGAATGATGCGTAATAAAGTCCCCACCAAATGACAGATGCCTGTGCAATAAATTGCATTGAAATCAATGAGGCGGATATCGATGTTGTTGCCACTGTATTACATGTTATTATTGCACTTATTGTACATGGCCACTGCTAATTCTTTTATTGTTAAAAAAATATTTTAAATCCCTGCTCTGGTCATTTAGGTCATTGAGTAAACCCCTGTGAACTAATTTTTGCATTTCAAAGTTACTTATTTAGATGTTTTTTTTTCTTCCATGAAAGTAATCCATTCCTGCCTTAAAGTCACTTAAATGTAACTCTGCACCTTCACTTCCTCTAGAATGTGTAGATCTAATGAAGCCGGTCTTTACCCATCCCTCCCCCTTCACTGCAGTTGGAACACAACAGCTCACCTACAATGCTGCTCAAACACTCAAAAATTATTCTACACGTTATAATATTGGCGTATCCTTGGTACACTGCAGTTTCAAAGTGAAAATTATCCATCATGGCGTTGACTGATCATTTCACTCATGATGTGTCTTTTAGCATATAAAAAAAACACCATATGGACATGCTAAGAAGGCTAAAAACTTGATTTTCACAGCAGGAAGTCTTTAATAAAATATGACAGTCTTGGCAAAATTGTCTTCATTGCTGTGGTCATGCTCCAGAGTGAAAGAAGAATTTTGCATTTTTATACATACGTGTATGCAGGAGGTTTATCTGCATGCAGAGTCCTTAGGCAAATTCAGTTTAATAATGATACTTGATGATGAACAGCATTGACATCCAGTTTTCCTTTCCTGTGATCAGGATCCTGTGGAAGAAGAATGAGGTGGCAGACTATGAGGCCACCACCTTCTCCATCTTCTACAACAACACTCTCTTCCTGGTGCTCGTCATCGTCGCCTCCTTCTTCTTGCTCAAGAACTTCAACCCCACTGTGTATCCTTTGAACTGTACTTGTCAACTCAATGCTGATTACATGTGGGATTTATCAGAAAACATGAACTTGCACTGATCTGCACCTCCTTTTATGGGCTCAAACTTAATAATGTGTAGCTTGGTCAGGTAAGACAAGTCAAATCTACATTGTGTATTTCTTAAAATTAGCTCAGGATGGAAGTTTATGATGTGTTTTGTTGCGATACGCTTGAGATTTAAGGAAACTGTATTTATAACAGAGCTTGGGAGAAGCACAGAAGGCATAACGTTGCAGTGCAGGGAGGCTGATGCTTCACATTTTTATGCAAATTCCCCTAAAATCGAATCTTTACAAGCTTTATGTAGTCAGTGAGTTGTCATCCAGTGCTGATTTGATTTATCTTTTTACCTTAACCCACTTTTTCCCAGCAACTACATTCTGTCCATCAGTGCCTCCTCAGGACTCATCGCTCTGCTATCCACAGGTTCCAAATAAAGGAGGAAGGAACGGGAGAAACAAACTGGAGCAATGAGGGTTGATGGGGTGGGATTGGGTAGGAGGGGGAGGAAGTGGGATAAAGAATGATATACAGTATATTGTTTTTCACTAAAGTTAGGAATGGGGTTCACAAGGGGATTGAAATATCACATTTCAACTTCATGAAATTCATGATCAAATGTCTGGAGGGTGTTTCTCCAGGTGTCTTCTGTTTTTTTGTAACAATTAAAGCAACCAGGTTCACTTGTACTGTTTGTGTGTCATTTAGTCCGCTTCAGAGCCATTTTAGAAGATATATAATTTTGTACATTAGTAAGTTTAACAGCCATCAGATTGAACAAAACTGAGAGACGCTAATGTTTCCATTGGCAATGCATTTATTTATAATCACACTTTCGTATAGACTTATTTACAGAGAAATCACTGTTCAGGAGAGGAAACAATACACTCATCGTTTGCATGTCACACAACAAAAAGAACAAAACTCAATGTCCCTCAAGCCTTTTCTACCCACATATCAACTTGTTGCAGAACACAACACTGATCTGTAGTATGCAATACACAACATCTTGGTTGATTTAGGTTGGAGTCGTACAGAAACAGGAAATCAAAGAGTTGATGTGACACCCTGCAGCTAGCTTGAAATCAGTGAAAGATGAAATGCTTGATGCTTTGCTCAATCCTGGCCTTTACATTTATCTCTCAGGTTGTGAATCTGCATTGAAAACAGCAATTGTTCTTTCAAACACAGATTCATTTCCAGTTTGCTTAAATTATCACTATATTATGTTTTGTGACGCAAATGGCGGGTTCAAGGTGGCGATATCGCATCAAAGAAAGCATTTTATTATAGTGTGACTGAAATGCCACAGCACAAATTGAGGACCAAGGTGGAGCAAAGTAACGTTCTGTCGCACAATAGAGAACAATAACAAAGGATTCGTATCCTTCACTTTGAGGCAGCTTCCTCTTTGTGATGTATGTTGCTGCTCTGCATTCTGTGCAATGATGTAAAGACAGATTAGACAAATAATATTAAGACAAATAATATAATCTGCGTCTATGATTTGCATAAACATGGTTCTATTGTCACATTATTTTGTAGTCCAGCACCCAGACATAATTTACCAACTTGTAATGAAAGACATCCCTGAATTTATTCCTGTAGCGGGACTCGAGTCAAGGCACTCTGCCGGGTGGCCACGGTCCAACAATGACTGATCACAGACTTGAATTGATGGGCAACTTGTTGACTTGACAGCAAATGTAGAATACATAATGGAACACGCCTCACATTTTTGCCACGAAAATGTTACAGTAAAGGATACAAGTGATACACTGATGCACCTATTTTCATTGAGCTGGGGTGAGAAATAAGGGAAAGAGCACATTTTAATTTTCCTTTTGTTTGTCTGTGTGCAGCTGTTTGCATCACAATAATGACTGCAGGGCCACGTGTACTCATCATTCAGGATCAGACTTCAATAAATGGGTTGTGAGACAAAAGCTGGCTCGTGTAACGGTGTGTTTGGCAGACCTATAGGTGGCTGTTGAAATTTCCTTTGATTAAAATATAGAAGGTGTCTGTGCTATAAGTCAACAAATGTGCATCAAGGACAAGACAGTGACTCAGCTGGAACCTGGCCAACAATTCTGCTGATCTCATTGATGGCTTGTTTTCCAGATGAACAAAAAATAATACAGTCAGACAACAACCGTGAACTTCCGAGAGTGGATCCACCTGGTCAGAGATAATGATTCAAGGTGAAGTCACTGAGAAACACTGAAGCTCATTATTCACGTCTCATAGCAGAAGCTCATTTTTCAAACAACTCCATGATTAATACAGAATTTATGAATGACTTCACAATGCGGAAACAAAACAAAATCGACCCTTTCTCCTTCTAAATAGTCCTCTGACATGTCTTTCCGGAGACAGAAATCAATTCTGTGACAGTGTAAAGTCAGGCTGGAGGAGGAGGACGGGATGAACAGTGGCTCAAACACTGCAAATGATGCAGTGATACTGCAGAGGAGCAACAAAATAACTCTATTTACATCTTATTTATATATTAGCCATACAGTACAGTGAAGTCCCCGTATGCAAGAGAGGCTTCTTGATGGTTTTGCTTATGTTACAAGTTATGCCTTAACTTTTTATGTACATGTAACATCTCCAAACAAAAACAATATTTCAAAATGTCAAAATAAATTTCATATTTATTATCTACTCTAGAATAAATACTGTAATCTTTGCCACATCCCAGATACCTTGTCTATATGCCACATTGTGCCATTAACAAGCAATATTTGTAGTTATTCTAACCATGACCAGACCTGAAGCCAGTCATTCTTTTATTTCATATATTTATTATAAGTCCATATCTTGAAGGTTCTTTGAAGCAATGCAGGTTCCGTTCACAAGCAGAAACGAGCGTCTCCATAATGAATGCAAACTCAGAGAAAAGGAGTCCACTTATTTTTTGCAAAGCAACATTTCTCTCCTAAATCTCCTAATTTTGTGAAGCAGAGTAGCAGTCCCTTAAAAAGACCACACGGGGGCGACATGCTTCACTCTCTCCCCTCACAGAGTCCCACTCATACTGACACTCAATGTCCCACAATTCTCTGCTTCACAGGGGGTCACATACAGTTGACAAGCTTGCAGTAATTTTGATCAGACTCTGTTGGTTAATTATGTGCTTTGTCAAAGAGAAGAAAGAGGCACACTATAGCAGGGTAAAACATGCATCTGTTGGTTAATATGCTCAGGATTTGCAGCCTATAATATTTATTGAATACTATTTTGTACTATACTAACTATGGGACTGGTTATATTTGTTAGGTAGTTGAAACGTAATTGAAGCTAATAGGGAACTGGCCTCATTCATATTCATAAAGCTCAGTTTTAATGAAGCATGAGTAGGTCACCTTGCCATTGCTACACCCCAAATTCCATGGGAAAGAGACTTTAACCCATGACTTGAGTGTGTACCTCTGACACAGGAGGTGGAAGCTTTAAGCTCTTATGGTAATTCTGTTTGTTGCACTGCATAGCAATTTAATGAAAGCACTGACTGACTAAGGGTGTTCAGCATGCAACTGAAGGTTCTTCATGTCCACTTCCATGAGGTACCTCTAATTCCTAAGTCTAAGCTGCTTGCATTGATGTATTCAGCTGCTGTACAGTAGTTCTCATAAATAAAATATGTGTCCAGCATGAATTTTGTGTCCAAATTAAATTAAATTAGTCTGGACTTAAATAAGAAGGCTTGAGTATTGAAGGTTTGGCCGATATACTGAACTGTAGATGTAGGTAGCAAGTATGAATCAGCAATATAAGCGTCTCACTCAGCAACTACGAACAGGATGCCCTTGAGCAAGGCACTTTTACTTGAAATATTGTTGCATTTCTTTTCTGTGGTCATTTACTAACTGTATGTGAATGTGAAGTTGGATATCTCCAAAAAAGCAAGCTGTAGTTGCATACCTTGCCATCTAACTGAAGTCAAAATATCAACTCAGTTGATTGCATTTCAAAACAAGAGCCCTGAATGGAGCTGAATTGCGATGTAGGGAAGCCTAATATGGACTACTCTAAGTTCTGCATAGTTACATCTGCATGGACTGTTGGTGAATGGGGTAAGACCTCAGCAGGGGGGACAAAGTTTTAATCTATTCAAATGGACTAAGGTTCGATTGAGGCTGCAAAAAGCTGAGTTTGTTAAGCATTTCTTGGCTGAGCTGGACTGCACCTGAGATGAACCTGGTAGAGCTGATCTGAGCAGGACGAGTCTCAAACAGACATAGTTACGGTATGCAACGCTGGACTTAGCAAGGCTGTCTATTCCAGGCTGAAGTGGGCTGGAGCTGAAGTTGGGCCCAAGGAGAGAACCATGGACATGAACACTGAACGGAGGGTCCAAGGTAGCAGTATGGTTAAGTAGGTAGGTACAGCTGACCTCTTGGGTAGTTTACCAGCCGGGTCTAAGAGCGGTAATCCTTCTTACTGTACGGTCTGTTGCCCAGGATGTGGTCGATCTCTGACACCACATGAGAGGTCATCTTAGGAAGGACCTGGTCAAGAGAGAGAGAATGACAGTGAAAGTGAGATACAGAAATGTTGCAACACAGGGATGTCTAAAGGCAAGGTGAAAGACTAGGGTCTGCTTTTTGATCGAGAAATCATTAGAAGTAGAGGACAGTGGAAGATGCAGATGAGGAAACATGGGTAAATCAAAAGCTATATGAATATGTTCTTACCTGTATGGCCCCGAGGTTCTCAGTTAGCTGTTCAGGGTTGGATGTTCCCAGCAGAACTGAGCTCACTCCTTCATTTCTTAGACACCACGCTGGAGACAACAAGTAATAGAAGTAGATATTCAATCAATGCCCACTTGATGGCACACTGCTGATTATTATTGTCTTGGAACACACCGCAAATAAACTGCGCTTTTAGTATTTAGTCTTCTAGTTCTGCTTCAATGACTACCTGCCATTATATTTGTGCATAATCGTGCAGCTGGAAGCACAGATAGATTTGGAAGTCTATGTGTTTGTGTGTCAGTGGGAAGCTGAAGTGAAAATCAAACCCACCAGGCAAATAACAGACATTATTAGAAAAAGGGTGATGTGCATTTGGCCACATCTTACGTTAAAAAGGGATCCTGTCTGACAGCCCTGAGCAGTTATGGAATTCACAGCCCTTCTTTAATCTGCTTCAGCAGCATTTGTTATAAGACAGGAAAGTCTTACCGACAGCCAGTTGAGGAAGGGTACAGCCCAGTTTCTCTGCAATGTGGTTGAGCTCTTTCAGCTTGGCTTGTTGCTTCCTTCCGTCTTCACTCACTATTTTCTCTTTCAACCACTGATAGGACTGGCAGGAAACAGGAGGAGACAGTGATTGATTGAGCGTGTAAAGAAGGGAAAGAGATTAGACAAAGAAACAAAAAAAATGGTAGGTGGACTAAACAGGCAAAAGTACATATTAATTCAGGGTGTGAGAGAGAAAAAAGGGAACAGGTAGACAAGTGAAGGAGAGGTCAAGGAGAGAAGTCAAGTGATGGAGGCTGTAAGAGCTGATGAACCACTCCAGGCATGTTGTATAATTTACACAATTTAGCTAAAGTGCTATAGAGACAAGACTTCATTTAGTCGTTTCTTTCAATAAAAACAACTAGTACTGATCTGATCCTTTAACACATATCCCATTGACGGACACACTTATTGGGATGGGCATGGGATGGCTAAAATGACCTTTCTTTGAACTGTCATATGACTGCCACTAACACAGCCTTCTTCCCTGTCACAGGAGTAGTATGAAACCTAAACTTGTGCCAACTTGAGTTGTACTGAACCGCTGAGGTGAAGAGGGAGCTAAGCGGGAAGGTGAAGCCCTCAATTTACATCTGCTCTGTATTCCACCTCTCGTCCACGATCATGAGCTCTAGGTAGAGACCATAAGAATGCGATTGTGGATACATGTAGCCGAGATGAGTTTCCTCTGTAGAGGTGGCTCAGTTCAGCCTTAGAGATAGGAAAAGGAGTTTAAACACCTGGACAAAGCTCGGAATAGAGATGGTCTTTTTTGCCTTTGAAAGGAGCCAAATGGGCGTTTAGAACATTTGAATGAGACGCCTCCTGGGTGCCTAAGTTTGGAGGTTTTCTGAGTGCATCCAACTGAGAGGAGACCCCAGGAAGACCCTGTACTAGCTGGAGGAATTACATATCTCATCTGGGTGGCTGTGGCTCAGGTGGTAGAGCGGTTGTCCTCTGACCGTAAGGTTGGTGGTTTGAGCCCCGCCCCCCCACAGTTGAAGTGTCCTTGGGCAAGACACTGAACCCGAAGTTGCTCCCAATGGCAGGCTAGTGCCTTGCATGGCAGCTCTGTCACCATTGGTGTGTGAATGTGAGTGTGAATGGGTGAATGAGAAACATTGTAAAGCGCTTTGAGTGCCGCAAAGGTAGAAAAGCGCTATGTAAGTGCAGACCATTTACCATTTACCATTTATCTGGTTTGGGAACACCTCGGGATAGCTCAAGGAGAGCTGAAAACCATTGCTGGAGAGAGGGACATTTGAAATTCCCTGCTTAGTCTGCTGCCACCACAGCCATGGATGGATGGATGGATGGATGGATGGATGGATGGAGGATTTTCAAACAGATTTTAAACAACATGTTTCCTTTTTGTCCTCATTCCTTTGGGTTAAACTAAACTAACTGCTCACAGCAAACTGTTTGTCTTGTCAACTTGGTGTCTTTTCAAAAGTGAACCATTGCATATGGGCATAGGCTGAGAAACCTGCAGTGTTGCAGCTCTAAACGCTCAGAGAAGCAGTGAGTGGGGTTTAGTAGCATCTAGTGGTGCGGCTGCAGATTGCAACCAACTGAGAACCTCTAGTCTCACTTTCCTCTCCCAAACATGTGTGAGAACCTGCGGTGGCTGCAAAAACGCGAAAGGTGCTCACTAGAACCAGTTTTGTTTTGTCAGTTCTAGGTTACTGTAGAAATATGGTGGAAGAGGACTTGCATCCTCAGTAGATATAAAGGACCCCCTCTAAACTGAACAAACACACAATGAATTATTTTCAGGTTATTATACACTAATAACATAGTTATAAATATTGAATTTCAATTATGGGAAGCACGGTGGTGCAGGGGTAAGCACTGTGGCCTCACAACCAGAAGGTCCAGGGTTTCAGGTGCTCCGGCTTCTTCAGAGTCCAAAGACATGCATGATAATTTAACTGATGATTCTAAATTGGTGGGAGTGTGCATGGTTGTCTCTTTTTGTTGTCCTTGTCACAAACTGTTCCAGGAATCTTAATAAAGCAGCCACGGGTCTCTTTCTCTTGTGCCTTAAAACACTCCCTGATGCCTACACTAACTGAAGTGGATAGGTTAAGCACCATTGCAGCTTTATTCTGATTCGCAATGGTGAGCAACCCTCAGTCTTACCTTCATGGAGGCCCTGGAAGATTCAGGAATGCCATTTTCATATTTTCCTGTGATGATGCCACACGCCAGCGGTGACCACGTCATCGCCCCAACTCCTGTCACCATGGAGACCGTAGGAAGTCAAACAGGAGGAGTTTTAGTGAGATGTGTCGGAGGAAGAGGTGTGAAGAAAAGTGAGAGAACAGTGCCAGAAAAAGTGAAAATGTATGAGATGATGAAAGAGGAGAAGATGATTAAAAAACAGCGGAAATGAGCAACAAAGAAGCATAAACACTCATTTAGGGCAATCTGGGCATCAGAAAGTTCTCATCACCAGGTTTTTACCTTTAACTTTCCTTAAACAAGTAGATAGAAAAGTCATTCCGTCAAAGGCACGCCTGTGATAGATTAATCTGATGCAGATAAACATCAACACAAATACTTGCCTATCTTATGGTAAAGTTCAGGCAGTTGCACCTCTACTTTCTCCCTCTGGAAGAGATGATACTCTGCCTGCTCACACACCGGAGGGATTAGATTAAACTGTCTTGCCACAGAATACGCCTCCTAGAGATAAAAGAGAGGGTAAAAAGACAGAACGAGAGAGATAGGCGTTAATCAGATTGTGGAGGCATGGCATAAATTCAAATGCACTGCTCATAGTAAGTCATCCAATCAGTATTCTATATCACAACTCTCTGAGGCATCATATTCAAATTTCCTTGTATACCTTGGTACCTTGCTTGCTTCTTCTTTTTTTCCATGTGTCCGTCAAGAACACATGCCAGAGGAAACACACACATACATTAACATGCTGCTTGTTGCTTCTTTAAATGTCCTTTTATTTTGTTGGATTCCTGCTGTGGAACACATGTCAGGATGGGAGCATGGTGGGGGGTGGTGGTGGTGGTGGTGGTGGTGGAGGATCTTTTCGTAACGCAAGGATAATGTCGGTGCAATCACTCAACTTACAAATTACAAGTTGGCCTTCTGTGCTTCAACCCATGACATGCGCCTCCAGCCTGTGTATGCAGCCATGCATGAGTATACTGTACCGCTTGCCTTGTCACGTACACTGAGAAGCCGTGTTTACCCCCCCTCCCTCCTCCCCTTCATTATTGATGCTATCTAAATTACACAGCTTTCATCTGGGCTTGTGTTCTACGAAGATATCTGCTTGCTTTCACCGTGATCACAGAGAGAGGATGTCAACACAATGCACTCTGCTTAGCGGGAGAGTGGATGGTGATAAAGAGAGATAAGAGAGGAGAGGATGGGTGTTAGGTCCTTGAATGTCACTTTAGGCATGTGCTCATTTCGTAACTCTCTGCCTTGTGTACATATTCATTAATGTGGAGTCGAAGCAGGAGGTAGATTATTTCTGACGGAAACAGGAGACAAACCACTGTGCCCGGTGTGACCACTTGCCAAAAGAGTCTGTTTTTCCTCAGATGTTGACTTTGCTTTTTCAGTTTCCATCTGATTTCAGCTCTTGCATTGCTCTTTGTCTTGCAGTACCGAGCATATATGCGTGAGCTATGTGTTCAAGAGGGAACAAGATAATGAGCTGCTGAAGTGTATCCTCAAGGTGTTAAGGTGAGAAGATCAGGAGTGTATTTATGGTTTCTTGACAGTTCATTCTGTGGTTCACTAGATCCACACTTCTCTTAAGACAAAGAAAAGGTTTCAAGGTGAGTTTCTCCTAAGCAGAGTGGTTATCACTATAGTTAGTCCTGTTGGTGGGATATGAGATATTAGCCATCAAAATGCCATGACACATTAACCAGAAACTGTATTTAAAAAAGAAAACGTTATCACTTTTGACCAACTCTACTGAGTTTCAAACCACATACAGCAGATCAAGAACAGGGGTTTAGTGGCTACAAACTACTGACCAGTTTAAAACACATTTTTTCTCCTCATTTGTTTTTCAGAAACAAATCTGTTAACTCAGTCAAGATCTACATTTTCTATCATATAGCAAAATATGAAAATGTTTTATTAAATCTGTGAGAAACGATTGCTTCTTCTTCTCTCCACTGTTCATTTCAGTGACTGTTGCTGCGTAAGTTATAGCTCAAATGACACAAATAGGTTTTCGCTGCTTACCATGATCTCCATGGCCGTCCACCGAGACGTCCCCCAGTACATCGCCATGCCTTGGTTTATCACGTAGGTCATGGCTCGAACAATTTCTGCAGAGAAATTCACATTTCCACATTAAATCGGTTTGCTGGATTAAAAGTGAACTCTTTGTTGAATGATTCCAGCATTTACAGAGCTACAGTAACAGATAAAACGCCTCTAAAACATCAGAGACAATTACAAAACCACCCTTGCAGACTTAATTTAACCAAAGGAAATCTTCACAACAAGAGAAAACTGACACTGCTCATCATTTCCACAAGGTAAATCCCAACATACCATAAGTTTGTTTACTTTTTTGTACACAAAAGATAAGGATAAAGAACATCCGGCACCAGCTTGACGTGACTTGTCAGGGGGTGGGCAACATATTCCGAAATCCACAATAGTCAAGCCACATGAAAGAAAGTGCCAAAGAAAGATAAGAATGAAACGCAGTAAACAACCAGTCAAAGGAAGATAAAATAAAGCAGACAAGCAATGAGAAAGCAGGCACTTGTGAGTGGGCTCGTCGATCTCAAATCAGTCAAAAACAGCAGGAAAACAGAAAAAGACTGAGGAAATGAAAAGGGAAAATCTGAGATAAATAATGACTTTAAAAGTACGCTGGCTTCTTTTTTGTACCAGTTTATTGAATGGATGGAAAAAAAACAACTCCTCAGAGGCCACCCACCTCCTCAAGCCTCTCTTACCTGCTGACGGCTCATCACCCGTCCCTAACGACTCCCGGGACAAACTAACAAGCTCACATATTAAAGCCTCTCTGATCACATTCAAGCTGCTGCATTTTTAATGACGCAATTAGCTTCAACACTGCTGACTGCGCAAGCCAACAGCAGTCAGGGCCAACAAAAACTCAGATTAGGACTGTCATTAAGGTTATTCATCATCACCCCGCACTCACTCCAATTATAGTGCAATCGTTCACTGCGGCGGGACTCTTGTATTTCACTCTGCATAACTGGTTTTTGGCAAGACAACAGATTATGGGGGATACGAAAGTCAAAGGAAGCACTGACAGAAAAGAAAAAGGGTTGCGACAAAATGATTAAAAAGAAGAAGATGAAGGAAAAAGTTTAGACCCAAAAGGACTGGAGATGGCAGGTTTTCGTTTTCCCTTCAGTTTGGCTAGTGATAATTAACAACCTGAAACAGAGATGTCTTACTCAATAGCATCCTGCCAAGGGAGATAACACAGTATTAGGACAAGTAAACAATTCAGTTTCTTTCTTATCTATAGTTACTCCTGTCTTCCTCTGCATCCCTCAACCTGACGTTCTCCTTTGTTCTGGTGCACTCACATTTAAATGCAACCTGCCTTAATCTCCGGCCAATTTAACAAGAGACAGTTGCAGGAATTAAATAGGAAATGAACAGTTTTGAGAAAAAGTAAGCAAAGTTTCCAGGACGATAAAAATCTATAAGACGGGAAGTGGTAGGAAATGTGAGAAATGAAGGTCATCACATGTATACAAAACCAGATTTTACAGAGCTACAAAGAAAAGCAAGTTTCCACAAACTTGTTAGACCTTAAAAATTATCTGCCAAAAATCCCTAATGTTGTTAAAATTAGCTGTGTTTCAACACTATAAATCATATACAAACTGTCAGATTTAAACATGTATGTATATTACCAATGGGATAATAAACTGAATACCTGGAGCCTAATTCACATAAAGTTTAGTGTTCATATTGACTGGTTAGGAGCACTAATTAATAATGTACTGAAAGAAACTTTGCTCTTAATTGGCTCTCCCTGCAGAACGTAAAAGTATACAGTTAACTGATAATGACTAATGAGAAACCAGTGCACTGCTAATATACATGTCAATAAGCAACTTGTCGATAATGAATTATGTAGGACTGCCTGCCTCACATACTGAAGAACACATTTTGCAGACTTAGATGTGTAGTTCAGTAACAGTCACCAGATATCCTAAAATATCTGCTCTAGCAAAAACATCGCCATATAGAGACTGATGTGAAAAATGCAAACATTTTGCCTCAGGCCAAAATCTTGTGTGGAGTTACCATTTTGTTATTTTCTAACCCTCTAATTTGCCTTGCAAGTACACAATAGCCCTCAAGCTGCTGAATTTCAAATCAACAACACCCTCTCCACAGTCAAAAACCTAAAAACATTCATCTTTAAAGATGAAACAAATGCTGTTTTACACACATTCTCATTTTATTATTGGTGATATCTGCAAACACAAGCCCTCTCTAGAAAACTATAGTATATAAACAGTGTATTTGTTTTTTGTTTTTTTTATATCAGTGAGTAAAGCTTATTTAAGCAATGGACTTTGGAGGAAACACAACTCAAGCCACAGTTCAGTCAAAAACTGGATAAGACACTGTGCAGGATCGAACTCACTGATGAAGTGACGAGGCAGGCAAACAACAAACTCCAAACCAAGGCTAGCCCCAAGCAGGGAGATAATAGTTCCCTTTGTCCAACCTTTTGCCCTCCATGATGGCAAATTCTAAAGCAATCTCCAGCGTCTCCTTTGATCAGCAGACTCCATCACAGTTTCAACCCACAAACATTACAGACCTTCGATATATCTGTTATCACGACTAGGTATCAGATGTGGCATCACTGTGAAATCTATTCCCACAAAGAGCACCGGAGCTCACTTGCTGAAATTAACACCACAACTGATAGCAGATGACCGACTAGGGACTGTCCAGAACTACGAACTGTGAAAAAGTACATTTTAGAGCCACAACATCCACCCAAAACAAACCCAACTATGAGCCCTTAGCGTGGAGCTCTCTGCTATCTAACTTTTTCTTCTACAACCATGTCTAAACCTCGACATAACTGGCCATCGATAGGAGCTTCACCTATGACGACCTTATGAAACTATCCATGAACAAACAATCCAGTTGGGTGGAGTAATAGCTCAATATTCCTTGCATTCATAAATGAGCTTACATATTCTGCTGCCAAACAACAAAGGCGATATCTCAGAACATAACACCCCATCATCAATAGAACCAATAACATGAACACACCCGACATCTGAAAGTCAGATGCTGTGGCCTCAGGCCAAAGTGTCAATAGTGCTTTATTGACTTGTTTCTTGGTTGGATATTGTTGGTTACATTTGAATATTGATGAACTGACTCACCCTCCATGGGAGTATTGCTGTCTGGGCGGTTGGCAAAAACTACATCTACATACTCCAACTGCATCCTTTGTAGAGAGCCTTTCAGACCTGAGAGACACAGAGAGATGCAAGGCGTGAAGAGAGAGAGAACATTTATTAAAGAAAACCATGGTTGGAGCTAGTAAGAAATTCATAGCTTTCACAATCTGAAGCCATAAAAATGAAGTCTAAAGCTGTTTTGTTTGTTTAAGTTTGAGCGTTTGCTTCTCTCACCTTCAATAATGTGTTTCCTTGACAGTCCTCTCTCCGTTTCCGCTCTAGTAGGATGAAACGGCAAAAAAATAATGAGCTGTATTAAATTTGCATTTGTGTTCACAACTTCACTTCTTCTAGCCATTAATTCATTTTGGGGTTCTAAATATTAAAATTAAGATGTTAACTTTCTCAAATTGTGGCACAAATCCAAGAAGGATCAATAAAATGTAATCTAATCTTATCTTAAATGTATGAATTCATATTTCTGGCACCTAATCAATTTAAACAATCCGCCACGTGCCTCTCCAAGACGACTCAAAGTCATTTTTGACCCTGGCAGGGTGAAATTTTTTTTTTTTTTAAAAAGCCTCACAGTAGATCCAAATGTACATCTCAGGCTGTTTTATGGAAATGGGTCAGTGCACTCTCAACTGCTCAGCATCACTATGCACCCAGACTCTGCACGGGAAAGACGGAGGACAGAGTCTTCCTTACAGGAATGAAGAAATGCTCAGGAACAGGAGAATAACTTTTTCCTTATCACCAGACACAGTTGGACAGCGTGTGTATGTGTGTGTGTATCCGCATATGTGGGCTATAAAACACTTTTCTTCATCCCCTCTCCTCTTTCTCAGGACTCAGCAGAGGAATTGGCTCTTCTGTTGGTTGTTGCTGCATGTGACATGTTTCTCAGGGTGTTATCAGAAAAATGGACACAAGAACACAAAGGAAAACTTTCTGTGATGCTGCTGCAAGGTTAAACTTTAAGCATATTTAAAGATACTTGATATTCATTTTCAATGTAACAAGAAATATAAGTAATAAGAATAAATGAAACAAAGTAAGAACTGACTTGAGGTTTTTCAGAAATTTAGCAGAAACACTCGTCTAAAACAAACTGAAGTTAGATATGCTACTATGCTTTAATGAAGTTTAGAGTTTTTGTTCATAATACTTGTGAATGTTTTCGTGCATGTGTCCTTGTGTGGGAGGACTTTTGAGTTACCAAACTGTCTTCATTAAATAGATATATGGAGCCATTTCTTATATGTATGTCCCTGTTTTTCCTTGCATTGTGCACAGCAGCACACATGCAATTCACTTTCTACCACTGGTTTTACGCTGCTGACAGACAGGTGCTGAAGGTAACATGTCAAGAAATGCGTTTTTGCAACAAAGGCAAGAAGTTGACCAAGTCAACAATCATACAGAGTTTAAAATGTTAAAAATTAGCTTTCCAAATGCTTTACAACACTTAAACATGGCGCACAAACACAATTTTCCATAAAAAAACACAGCAACAGATAACCATTTACAAGCATTGTTGGTCAGGGAAACTGGAGTTTGTGGAATTTCTTACTTACTTTCCTCCCCAGTAGAGCTTAGTTGTAATGACCAAGCTCGATCGCCTGAGAAATTGCAGAAAAAAATACAGAAAAACAGGATGGTGAGTGACACATAGTGCATCATGCGGCTCAGTGTCAAAATTTTAATGTAAGACCTTTGCAGCAGGTTCTTTCTCACAGCAGACATCGTGACTGCTCATATTGGAGGTGGTACTAATAACTTTAACAATGGATTTGGTCTGAACAAGAATCCAAGTAGTAAAAATGAGACAAAGAGCCTCCACAAACAAAAACCTTAAGCAGCTAAATGGAATTCAACCATCTACCATCTACTGTGATGCGTTGAATGTTCTCCTGTGTCACAGCTTCTTTGCTAACACATCTGTGCCCATTATAGATTTTTTCAGTCTAGTTGTTCTTTAATGTTCAGTGTAATGTAAGAAAACTGTCAAACTAAAATGCGGAACAGACAACAGGTGTGAATATGCTACACACATGTTGCTTCAGAGATTTTGGTGACATCCTTTTATTACCACATCTGGTGGTGTTAAATCATTAAAATCTACCTCATCACACAGGAGCTGCTAATTCACTGCAAAAAAAATCAGATGAGCGTCTGCAGACTTTAGTCATGTGTGACGAATCAATGCATACATGCCTTTTAAAGAGAGTTGTGTCACTTTACCAGCATGCATTAACGACAACATCTGAACAAATGGAGGAAAGTGGTTTATGATTTTTCAGTACTCCACTTAAAAAATCTCCTCTCTGCAAATTCATGACAACACTCTGACTGAAATGTCAGGTTCAGTGTGTCTTAACTGTACCAGCATCAAACCGCCTACTGGTGTAATGTAGTCAGCACGGTACATGGCACTAGCCTGCTTAATGATGGAACAACTAGCCAACACAGTGAGAAGAGACTAGCAGCTAAAAGCTCCCACGTGAGAGCGGCCACATGCTGACATATTACAGAGTGGCCTCTGTCAGAAAAAGAGGCTGCATGCTTCTTCTAGATTACATCGAAGATTACAATTAGGATTATACTGGGTTTTAATGCTATGGAAAGTTTTCTTATGATGAAACTGAATGCACACAAACATTTTGTGTCAGTTCTGCTCAAATAAAGGTCCTGCTTTCAGGCCTATATAAGTACATCTGGTAGCGATTTCATCAGATTGATCAGATCCTACCAGCATTTCATCTACTGTCTCTTCCAAACCTTGAGATTATACAAAAAACATGTATTCAACTACACACATTGAAGATGCCATTTACATTTGAATTTCTTTTGATATTACTGTATCTGTCGCCTCCCAGTCTCCTGCAGAGCTGATCAATTAAATATATATATATATATAAAACTGAGCATATTTAAATAATTCCATAAAAAGAATATTTGATACTTGTGGAAAATGAAAATGCCCAAAAAGCAAATTTACATACAGCAACTATTTTATTCTGTTCTGTGTGTGTGTGCAGAAAAACACAGCAAATTAGAGATTTAGTCTGATTTAAGGAAATAAACACAAAACCATGACAGAGCAAAGATTTCCGTATGGACATGAAAGCATGATGGTCTACAGGATAAAACACCTCAGAAAACACCCAATCTTGCTTTCTCAAACATAACACACACACACACACACACACACACACACACACACACACACACACACATACACACATACACACACACTTCTGTTGCAACATACACACTCTGTCTTTCTACATTTTTCTCTCTCACACACAAGTGATGAAGCAGCCACACACATTAATATAACCATTACCTCCAGCATTTCTTCTTGATAATGTTTCCTAGAATGATTTCGGCCCTGCAAGGCAACATAAATGAGGCAGGGTTATTAAACTGCAGTTTGAAATCACAAACATTTTCTCCACAATATCAAAGTAATTCATTGTCACCAAACGAAACAGGTCTCAGTTTGTTCTTGAATGGCAGTTAAATGATGCAATGAAAAGGTCTTCGAAAACTCGTTACAATGATTCCTGCAAATATGTGGGAGTGGTTTTGTATTGCAGAACATTTTTATTTACTGTCTCATATATTATGGTAGCATTTACTTTGTCAGAGGTAAAGGAAACAGCTCCTTAGCGATCCAAAGGAATTGTTTAAACATTAACTGCCACTCCGCGTTTCCTGATTTAAAACTGGTTGAAACTATTTTAGGCAGCAAATGTGTTTTGCTGTTTTCCCTGATATTTGTATGACAGTTAGAGGTCTATTTTATTAATATTTATTTGTGTTTGATTAGCTACTAGCAGGTGGGAAAAGAAAATCAAAAACAATCTAATATGTACGTGAACTTTTTTGCCATATTTAAACTTTTGCATGATTGTTTTCATATTTAACAATATCCAGCAATAACAAGGATTAACGGCAGTTATTTCCTTTTTTGTCCAAGTTAACTCATCCAGGTTCAAATGCAGAGCATGTAATGGCCTTGTCATGGCATACTGTACCAATCTGTGTCTGAACATTAACTACAGTCATGAATATTTATAAGTTACATGACAGATCTGTTCACTAAATTGTAAGCAGCCTGTATGACGCCTTTAGGCTAATCATGAATGATAAAAGCACACAGTGGAGCCACACTTATGCATCTGATCACAGTAAAAACATGGACAGGTTGTTATGAGCTCGACTGAGCTGCACACAAACACAAGGGTTTATATGACACCCACCTGCCGCCTGCGTAGACCTCAGCTGTGTCGAACAAGTTGACTCCGCTCTCATAGGCAATAGTCATTAGCTGCTCTGCAACCTGGCAAGAGGTCAGAGACAAAGAGAGAATAGACAAAGAGAGGTTATTGTGCACAATTTATCATTCATTTCTCTTTCATTACAGCTGAAAATCTCCCTTTTTAGAATTTTCCTGGTGGAATCAGAGCACTGTGATATTCTGTCATGTCAATATCTTTAGTGGAAATCTTCATGTTTCTGCAGCTGCAGTGTCTCACAGCTTACCAAAGCCACTATAAAAGAAGAAAAGCATGACACACCATCAAAGCAGTGCAGCTTCATATTTTATTTAAATATTATTGCTGACGCATTTCAGCCAGAGGCCTTCCTCAGAGCGTATTATAACTGCAGCTCATTTTTATACAAGACACCGAAGACTTTGACCTAATTCAATAAAACAGACACAGAATGCCACTCCATCTTAACAGCAACTCACTACAACCTGGGACAAAGAACAAGAATACAACAACCATTACTTATCAAACAAAAAAAGGACAAAGATTTAAAAGTGAAGCTTTTATCAAGGCTCTAGAACATATGGTTCCCACAGGAAATTACAACCTGTCAGTCACTACATTAAAACCATCCATCCATTATCTATACACAGCTTAATCCTCACTAGGGTCGCGGGGGGCTGGAGCCTATCCCAGTTGATTCTAAATTGTTCGTAGGTGTGAATGTGAGTGCGCTTGGTTGTCTGTCTCTAAGTGTAGCCCTGTGATAGACTGACAACCTGTCCAGGGTGTCCCCTGCCTTCACCCTAAGTCAGCTGGGATAGACTCCAGACCCCCCGCGACCCTAATGAGGATTAAGCGGTGAATTGATAATGGATGGATGGATGGTCGATTTTGGTATGTTTTACTCGATAACATGGAAAGCAAACATTTAAAATACATATTTACTTGTTTATTTTACTACGCTTCATGTACTGGACATTTATGAAAATTAGAATCAGAGAATCAGAATCCTTTTTATTGCCATTACGCATACAATTCCAAACACAGCGAAATTGCAGTTGGAAGTCTGAATGTGTGTGTGCTTGGTTTCTGTCTCTAAGTGTAGCCCTAAGTCAGCTGGGATAGGCTACAGTCCCCCCGCAACCCTAGTGAGGATTAAGCAGTGTATAGATAATGGATGGGTGGACAACTATTTCTGTGATTTTTAATATGAACAACTGATCAGCCCGACAAGGCTACCTCAAAAAGTTCTTGACCTCACCACAAAATGTCAGGAGAAAGGCTGTTCTTGCATTATTTTTCAACACAGACTCTCTAAACGTCAATGCACTTGGTCCACCAATGTTCAAGCTTCACTCTCCCTTCATGGAAACAAGGTCATATCTTAAGCCTCCAGATGCTCCTCAACAGCATGGATGGCTTCATCATCTTCTGAAAATGCCAACCACACGAGCAGAATTTCAGTTTGGGAAACCGATAAAATTCAGATGGTGCAGGTCAATGAGTAATGGGGCAACATTTAAAAGCCTCATCTGGCCGCTTCTGCCACCTGCGCTGTGTGGACAGACAAGACAGTCAACAGCAGCCAGCTTGACGCTTTCCTCTCCTTTTTTCTTTGCTTTAAACATTTGAGTTTTTGTGGACAGTGATATAAGTAGTATTCAGGTACATCCCAAAATGGGAATTACACCTCTGATGGGTAAGCAAACTTCTTGAGGTACCATCGTATGTCTTCTTGGGGAGAAAATGCATGCTGTTACCCCTACATTTAAACAATGTTGCATCGTCCCCTATGACGAAAAACTTTCATTTCTACCATGTGGCTGATCAGAACAGCTATAAACATTTCCAACGTGGTCGCTTTGATCAAGCAGAACTACAGCCCTGTGTGTTTGTACTCTAAGTCTGTTGACATACAGACTTTATTGAACTTGGGGGATCGCAGTGTAATTACCTGTGAAAAATCATTTGACTCCATGATGTACTGCAGTGTCAACTCATTCCTCTTTAGTTAATAAGTACTCATGCTTTATATAAGTGTGTGTGGGTGTGTGGCATATGTGCAGATATTCGTCCATATTTTTTGCCGACATGGTGACCATAAATCATCCAACCGAGATCCAATTTCCCCGTGGTGACTTTTATTACATGGGGACTTTAAGTGAATTTGTCATCATTTCCCTTTGGAGTTTTATAGTGACAGGAGGGTGTGTGAGGCAGTGTGTTTGCGGTACTTATGTGTTTGTGTTTACATGTGTGCACAAAATGTGTTCGTCTCCATTTGTGTATGCACCTGCAAATGCATGCACAGTACGTGGGAGCGTGCGTGCGTGTGTGTGTGTGTGTGTGTTGCTGTTTTCGGTGGTGGCAGACAGCGGAGGTGTTGTTTCTACAAGAATTAAATAAGCTCTCCTCTGAGGATCTGTCTCAACCTTCTTCAACCTTCTCTCTGCAACCAGCCCAAACTGGGTAACACTCCAAGCCTACGTGTTATTATGTTACAATGATGAGAAACTTTATTCTATTAGCATTCTTTTGTGCTTTGATAAACACAGTGAAAGTATAAAACCTGACTTAACAGAGGAGGACAACTAAACTGAGTATAACAAATTCTGATGTCAGGTAAAAAAAAGATATTAAATAGAAGAAAAAAAAAGAAAGAAATACTAAGTAAAAGTCAATAAAATGAGTGTTTAAAACTGATTTAAAATGTTATTGCAGCCAGAGAGCAGCTCTCGTTTGAGGTTGTACCTTGGAGTCATACCTGAGTATCATCTGTAATATCTGGAAATCAATTTTGAAATTGAACAGGGAGTCCCTGAAGACATACTTGTATAGAGGTAATATAATATCATCTGTTAGCTACAGAAGTGACTGCCCTCACTGGATTAAATGTCAGCTTAAAATTGCATATCTTCACAAAAAAGTAGGAAGTTACATATAGTTTTAAAGATAAGGGAGCTACATGTCCCTTCTTCTACCGACATAATGGTGATCTTTCAGCCAAAAATTGAAGAAAATTATTATGCACCAGGTCAGAGAAGTACCCATATGAGTTACTTTGTAAGACTGTAATAGATTTCTGCACTCAGACCCAGCTGGAGGCGACAGAATGATCTTTGGCACGCATGATAGAAGAAGAAAATCAAATCTTGTAACCTTTTTTCCTCCTAAAAGATGTGAATGTTCTGGCAGTGGTTCTGAGTGACAGAACACGAGACACAAGTGGTTGAGAAGTTACGTTTTTTTGATGCACGCACAACTACAGATGCAATAAGCCAGCTGTTTCCCATCCAGGACCAGTTGTGACACTTTGACTCAGAGTATACCAATAATCCTATTCCTATAATTTATACTACATGAGGTCTGTTTTCCCATTTTTTAAAAAAATCTGCAAACCATGATGTGTAGAACTCTTTTGAATGATTTTTTTTTTTAAAGTTGAACAGTGGAAGTGCAACATTACCCCAAGGATTGTTAAGTTTTATAACGACATGGACAAAGAATCTAAAGTACACTGAACAAAAACATAAAAAAGAAAGAAGAGAAAAACTTGATTTTTTTTCTATTGGTAATTTTTCACAGAAACGTGAATCCACACCCCAGTCAGGTGTAGCTTTAAAGGACAATGATAGTGTGACCAGCACACAGACGCTACTTTGACCAGTGACTATAAGTTGCCATCTTAAAATGCAACTTTCTTCAAATGATAAAATGCCACAGATGACAAAAGACAGACAAAATTGAGCTGTTGACATGGTGGATGCTGATATATCAGTTAACCAGACACTTGAATGTCCAAAACTCCACCATCGGTCGTCTAAGTAATCGTTTCAGACAGTATGGTACAACAGATCATCTGCCACACCACGCTCTGGATGGACGTGTCTGACGATGTGATCTTGTCCTCCAAAATGTCCTTCAAGGAAGAGTGGAACAACACTTAACAAGCAGCATTGTCATCCTCATTAGCTCTTGCCGTTGAATATGTGTGAGTTGTCACCGATTTATGATTTCTGGTCTATGACCCTACTCTTGTTCTGTCCATTATCATTTATAACGTAGTGCATGTCTGGTTGTTTCATGACATTTATTCTGTCAGTAATATGCTCATTTCCCTATGTTGAACACAATCAGTTTAATAAAATATGACATGCTTGCATTTATTTATTTTTATTCAGTGTGTATACGATGAATATACCATGTCATGACTGACCACGACTGATTCATTCAATCATTTATCATCTTCTTCCTGTCTGGAATCTCTGCCTGTTTAACTAAATAACCAATATTTAAAATGTCTCCCAACTCACTACAACAGGTATTTTCTCAGGATCCATTCATATTTAAGAACTACATCATTATCAGATGCTAATGTACTGCTTGCAGAGAAGGTTTAACAGAAGGAGGAAAGTTAAGGCCAGAGAGGGAACAGAGACCACATTTCAAAATGGTTCATTCAGTCTCCAAGCCCTGGACTGCCATTAAGACAAACAGAGCAGAATGAAAAGATGGAACCAGATAATGGAGAGGTTTAAGAAAGGAGGGGGGAGTTCGGGAGAGAAAGATATGGGAAAAAGGGATGACGGAGGAAAATGAACAGCATGTTCTTTCCCTAACTGGTCTCTGCTGAGTGCCGACGGGGGGAAAAAAAAACGTTAGGGGCACTGGAGGGTGATTTTCAATAAAGTGAGGGAATGGCCACCTAACAGATTTTTCGGAGATGTAAAAAAAAGAGATGGTGGATAAAGGAACTAGTTACTGAGACACTGAAACATGGATCAAACAATGAAAAGTGGCGAGAGCTTAGGAAGGAGCTTAGTAGGTAATAAATGTTTTTCAAGTAAGGTGAGAGAAATGCAGAAGAGAGTGCTTCAAGGACAGATTAAAAGACGGATAGTCGCAGGCAGAAAGCTGAGACAAGGGCGATAGTCAATTTTAAAGGGTGACTGGCCCTAGGTGACTGCTCATTCATGATGAGTATACTAAACGATGAGTATACATAGGAAACTAAAAGACCAATCATTGTCAAAAAGAGCTTCAAGTGACATTTGCAAGGTCAGGAAGTTTGCGTTGTTAATGAATCATCGTTGCTTACTCACATTTCTGAGTATTTCTGACTTCTGGACATTGTGGAGTGACTGAAAGTGACTGATGGCCTTTAAAGGGTGGAATACATCTAGAAAGACAGTGACAAACTGAGGAGACAACCATATACATAGAACACACGCAGCTCCATCCTCACATATAGACAAACACTGAGTCACCGTAAAGTTGCAGTTGCACCTGGGTGGCTATGCTTCAAGCTCCTTCTTTTTCTTTGTTGTTGTTTTTTTTTTCCTTCTGGGGCACAAAGGGTGGAAGAGAATTGGATTTCCATAGATGGAAGAGACATAATGAGAAAAAACACTCTCTCTCTTTCACAACCCCAGAATCAAGGCCACAGTAGCCGCCCACACGCTACCCACACAACCTTGAGAGAGGATTTCATGCCTGCTCTGCTTCTGCCCCTCCAAACTTGCTACATCAAAGTTGACATCGACAGGAGACATTTTCTTCAAATTCCCTTTGTGATGTATGGCTCCACTTTTGCCCTTTTTGAATGAGTGAGCAATATGAAGCTGCTTACCCACATACTCATGAGAACTTTCTGTCTCGGAAGAATGTAGTGAAACAAACTTTATTGCACTTTGATGAGACATGCTTTATAAACTGCAACTAATGGCTTTATAAAATATATATTAATGATTTCTAATGATTAATGACTGCTAGTGCCTATAAATAATAACCCCTTTACACAATATCCCCTGTCAGAAATTAGCCTAAATTAAAAAAAAAAAAGAAGGAAAATATTAGTCTTTTGTGCTCATTGTTGTCATGTGCGTGTATTTGTGCAGGGTTTTATGTAGCATCTGTGTTTGTGTGCCAAAATTGTTGTGCATTTCTTAATGAGGGCAGGGACACTGATCTCTGCTGAGGACATTAGTATATTTAGGGCACATTTGACAACAATGACATTGAACAGGGCAGCAAAGGACTTTTTAACCCAACAGCGCTGCATGTGATGTGATAGTAGCACTAGTTGCTGTTGTGGAATCGCTCGGGGTCACATGTCCGCCGGGACCTTCTGTCTGTTGCACCAGCTTCTTCTTCTGGTTATTTTCAATGGCCAGAATGTGCTATTGTGCATCTCTACTGAGAGCTTAAACATTCTCCTCCACTGAGTCAACAATGCAATATGTAAAACAGATTCTGCGTGAGCCAGCCAGCAGTTCCCATGTGAATCTCAGCTGTTCAAGTCCATGGCCCGAAGTGTCTGAGCGATACCAGTGACATTGAACTGGGGACATTCGGAATAATGGCGGGAAAAAGGGTGCGAAGCTTTGAGGGGACCATGTGAGCTGATGACACTAAGCCCCTAAGGTGAGAGAAATAATACTGTTACATAAGCTTACTGTTCCCGTGTCCCCCCCCTCTGCTCTCTTTTGTGTCACTTTAAGTGTGTGCATATGTATGTGTGATGACTGAGTCCGAGACCCCAGCAGGCAACATCAGAGCATGTAGAGCTCATCAGGATAAATGCAAAAGGGTCCCTAAGTACGTATATGTACACATGATGTGTTGAGCCTCAGTACGTCCGTTTTCTGTCCTATGTAGCATAAAACGTGATCACCACACCCAAAGTCTATGCGACGGTATTTATATCCAAAAAATGCACAAAGACACCCTCCCTCCTTTACTATAGCATTAGTAAATGTCAGAAAGCAATAACAAACTAGCTGTAGAGTAATTGAGCCTGTAAGTTTTAGAACTTTGTCAGTCAGCCAACTGTGTTTTCTGATCAAGGTTAACTCTAACACCACTCCGTCAGACAGCATGGTGTGACAGATGTCCCACAGTAACACTGCTTTGGTTCATTTATCACTTCATCCCCACAAACTGCAGCAGAAGGTATCCAATTTTTTTAAACAGTTCTCAACAGAACCCCCCCACCTCAGCTATTACGCTGTTGCTCCTTTCCATATGACATTTTGTATACCACATTAACATACTTCACCAGCAAGATAAAATTAGGCTGCTGTAACAGAAAATGCATGGAAAAACAGTTGTTCTCCATGTGACTGAAAAATAATGCCCTTATTTATTTTGTCGATGTTGAGCCAAACGAGACTGCATTGCTTTTTAACCAGCAATTAAGCAAAGGAACACAGAAATGACTATGGATGGCCACTCTTTCCCAAATGCTGCCAACGTTTCTTGGCCTGCAGGCTTCCTGACTTTGTTATTCATTTTCAAAGGTCATTTAGTTTTGAATTTAGCAACATTTTTGGTGGCAAGTGGCCACTGGTGTGAGATTTTTGCTGTACAGTGCATCATTGTCTGAAAATGAGGTCCGTAGAGCCTTTACTCTGCCTGTCTGCTCATGATAAGTTTGTTTGTTGAAAGTTCAGGAAGACCTAGAAAGCAGCAGTTGTGTCATAGATTCAAATGGTAACAAACAGCAGAGTGTTTAATATTAATGGTCTATTGCAGTATCAAACACTTGTGAGTGTGTGGTGAGAACAAGCACACAAAAGGACATCAGGTGTTCATGTACTAGAAAGTCACTCCTGTTCAGTAGTGTATGTACAATTAACAGAATCACTCGATAACAGTTGTAAATCAGTAACACAATGACCAGAGTTCATTGAAGTCAAACAAACATGTAAGATAAAGAAAAATGTTTCATACCTCGTCTGTTATCTGTCCCCCAAATGTCACCCACGTACCTGGAAGGGAGAGAGAGACAGAGACATTTCATCATTTCCATCCTGTCAGTCCTTTCTGTCAGTGTCTATGTGTGTTTGTGTTGTTTGACATCATGAAGTAAACACAACTAATCCCCGAGTTGCGACATCAGTCGAAGGAGGCTGCCGGGTTCCCAGGAGAAAAATTTGTCCTGTTCAGAGCTGCTGCTCAGCACTGAAGGATCACCTTGTGTGAGCGCCTGCAAGCACTTTATTGTCTTCACTGTCTCATGCGCTACTATGCATTAATCTGACGGCATCTGAACATGTCCCTGCCCTTTTTGTGCAAAAGCACAGCTGAACGACTATTTTACCAAAGTCGGATCTGGAAACATTTACCTGTTGTGTTCAGCACTCCAACACAAGTCTGCATGCATGCCGTCACATTAAAAGATAGGCCTGCCTAAGTAATGAGCAAGAAAGTCACCCAGATGAGGCCGCTGCCTCATTTAAATTAACAATATAGAGTCAGTTAGCCAATCAAAACCTTCCAAAGCCATGACATCATCATCTGGGCTTTTCCAAATAGTTTGAAGGCATAGTAATCTTAGGCCACGTTTACACATAGCTGAGTATTTACAAAAACGGATCTACGTTTTCTAAAATAACATTGTCCACACCAGATCGTTTTCCAAAAAGTCTTTGTTTACACAAACTGGCATAAACACGTAGTTAAGAGCTGCTATGAGCATGCCGAGCCTATAGGGGGCAGTGTAACAAGAAGCATAAAGCCATGCTAGCCAATCAGAATCCTGGAAAAAAACACAACAACAAATGGCACGAATTACTTCCTGTTACTTCAACGATAATGGCGCAAGGGTCGTTTGTTTGGACCGAAAGAGAAGTGGAGCTACTCCTAAATGTGGTGTTAGAGTAAGAAACAAGTAAAATACTTGAAAACATTGACTTTCTATCACAGAAGCCAAACTGTAAACATGGGTCACACACATATGAGGCTTTTGTCGCATACTGTGACGTCAAACTCTGTCTCCTCCTGTCTATAAGGAAACGTAAAAATTGAGTTTTTCCAAAACTCCACTTTGGCCGGAGTTTTCAGATATGATCGTTTTCGGTGTAGCTTGTAGTGAGCTGACTTTCAGTTCTCTCTCTCATTATTTGGGAGTGTAGCAAATTGAAATAATTTTGTTAATCCTAACTGACCTAAAACAGGAAAAGCTTAGTCACATTTAATGTCAGATAGTGACAAAAAAAATGGTTATTTTTCTTTTTATACAGTTTATGTAAACTTCCAGTTTCAACTGTATATATTCATGTTTGTGTCTATATACGTGCATGTGTGTACATGTAACTATATGCTCCTGATGCGATCCAAACACTGCTGACAAGTCAGACAAAATCCTGAGCCAATCCATCCTGAAGAGACACTAAGTCCTCTGAACATTCCCTGAGAGATTTATGAATGTAGCTTGGCAGAAAACTCTTCCAGTTCAGATTGTGTCAAAACAGTTTTAGCTATCTAAACCCGTCCAACTCTGCCAGACAGACAGAAAACAAGGCTTATATATAAAGGCTTATTTATGCATTGGAAATTGGAAAAAGATCTGAAGTGCCTGACAGAACAGGCCGTTTACATTTGAAATTTGGCAACACGTCCGAGCACACTGTCACCACGTTCTTTTTCTTTTTCTTTTATTTGATGTAAAGGATGGTCTCACATAAAATGGCCTATATGATAAACAGTTTGTGCTGTTATACTGAGTATATCAGAGTTTATTTACAGTGCACTGACTAAAAGATAGTATATGGATGGTATTTTTCAGGCCAATGTCAGTGTTTGAGAATTGAAAAGATAAGATCATAATAACCAATAAGTTTGGTATCTTATGGTTCAAGTGCTTACACATGAACTGCTGTTGTATGTTGATTTCAAACAGTCTCCTGAGACTTCTCAGCAGCAACCTGCAGAATATTTAACCTTTTCTAAGTCAGTATTATTGCTAATTATATCAACATGTCATTTAATTATGTAAGTGTATTATGAAATGAAATGAAATGATTCTGAGCAAGTTGTAAATTAAAAAGCAGACTAGCTCTAATTAGTATAAGCAGTTTTCGTGTCACACATGCAAAGCTGTATGTGTGACAGTTACCAAACCATCACGGTAAAAATGACAGACTTTGTACAACAGAAGAGTTTATCGCTTTAAACATCCATCCATCCATTTTCTATAC